AAAGGTGAAATTAATAGTCCTATTCGCAAACAATATAATAAACTACTAATTCAAATAATAATACCAATAAAATACTAATGATTATAATAAAATTTAAAAACTACAATTTACATTTTTACAACAAAGTTTTTGTATGTAAATGTGTAAGTTGATTTTTCTGTAGACGTATCTTTTATATAAAAAAATATTTGTAGCATTTTAAAATGTTTGCATTGAATATTATAAATATTTAATTGTGTAGGTTGTTTTTTTTTTTAATACACGTTCTCTTGAGAGAAGTGTATTTTTTAAAGGCCAGACGTTTTGCGTAAAAAAAATTGTTACACTTTTACGTTTTTTTTTTTTTTTCGGCTCAGGTGTTGAAAATCACCAATATTGTTAAGGATCCATTTGTAGTTATGGAAAATTTGGTGCCGTCTTAGAGTGTGGCCTACCGACCAGTTTCTGCTTTAGTGAGTATCTTACCACTACATTTGCAGCCTCCATTATTAAGGCATTGTCCCGACTTTTTTCTCAACATGTTAAAAGACATTCAGAATATTTTTATTTAAAGGATTCTTGTTTTATGATTTTTTTTTAGTCAAATTTCTTATTTTATTTTTTTTTTATTTTAAATTTTATAATACAACAATAAATGGCATTCTTCCTTACGTTTTTGCTTTTCCCCTTACGTTAGATAATGTAGGATACACCTGTGGTGGTAGGATACACAGATCAGCAGGACACACTCTAAAGTGCCACCGAAATTTTTTTTTTTTTTTTGTGTCAATGACAGCCGTGGTCTCATGTCCTTGTGAAAACTTGGATGGAGCCTTCTGTGAGACTAAATTTCTGAATAAATAAGATCTCAGCAGGTCAGTGGACGGGAAGACTTTTTGACAGCAAGGGAACAAGGCAGATCAACATCAAGGAGCAAGAAGCCTTTTGACATCAAGAAGAGAAGTTCAAGAAGGCACCAGTTACGAGTCAGAGAGCTGAAAATTCTCCTGTGGTAAGAACGGAAAAGAATTCTAAGAAATTGTCCCAAACACGAACTGTGTGAATTAAAAATGGACTTTTCTAAAATTACTTGTCCGGTTAGCTCCTCCCTACTTTTTGAAACCACTACTAGGAGACGCTCTCGGGACTATAAATTTTCTGCGATATTTTTCTCATTCTCTTCTCACCTTATCCGCTTATTCGTCAACATGTAACATCACGCGGAGAACGCATTCCCTTTTGGGAAACACATGAATAACACACACACACACACACGAACGTACGTACGCACATTCACTCATTACACATACTTTGCATCCAACATTTTTCACATTCATTTGTTACACACATTATTGTCTTTGTCGCTTGTATACCTTTGTTGTTAATACGTTATCATTTGTATATATATATATATATTGGTTCTTGCCGTTTCTTTTCATTTCTTTGCGTGGTCTCACATCCCGTGTCTGCCGTGTTTATTGTGGGCATTTTAGGAGACATACGTGTTTATATCTCAACGCATACACTGGCCCGCAACAAGTTGGTGACGTCCGAAGTGATAATTATTTTTCTCCTGGTTACAAGAAACACACAAGACTACATATGTACAAACTCAAATATACATTTACACACCTTTTCCAAACCGGGAGCCAGTGAAGAAAAATATCAACAAACTTCTATTCCTACCCTACGACGCATGGCGGACGCTAAGCTTATAGCAAAAACAATTTATACACCTACAAAATGTGTGATAAGACCCTATAAAAGTGTAAAATCACAAATTTCAAATACTACAACATAAGGAGTAAAATAAATTAACCTAAATAAATAAATAAACTAACAAAATGATTCCGATAAACTAACCGTTAGAAAAAACAAATAAAGATAATCAATCCAAATAAATACATGAAGTAATAAACAAATAAAAAACTGTTTCCGCCAAAATAATAGCTAGAATAAACTACACCATTCAACCCCAAAATTGAATAAATAGCTTTATCTTCCCAAACCAAAACAAAACTATAAGCAATTTTTTACTACGTTAATAAAAACACTGATTAAAATAAAAATAAAATCTTATATTTAGTGTGTTTTTTCGGGGTGTCTGCCGTTTTGGTACAAGAGAAAACATACTTCTTTTGTTTGACATTTTTATATTTCTCTGAAGTTTGAATATTGCGAGAATAAAATTGAATTATGAAAATTACGAGAAAAATGAAGATAGGCATGATGAAAAAAAAATGGAGATATAAAATTAAAACGAGATATAAAATTAAAACGAAGATATAAAATTAAAACGAGATATAAAATTAAAACGAAGATATAAAATTAAAACGAGATATAAAATTAAAATCAGAGGAAGAAAGAATATTACTAGAGGTTTAAAGAAGTGAGAAATGAAGTAAAATCAAGAATCTGATGAAATATTAAGAATACGGGTCGAAAAAAGTAGCGAAAAAAAGAACAAAAAAAAGGATATGTGGAAAATTTAGAAGAGAAGAGAAACAAAAGGTGAAAGGTAAAAAAGGAATGAGATAGGGGAAAGCAAGATAAAAGAATAAGGCAATGAAGAGAAAAATTAAAAATAAAGGAGTAGAAGAGAAAAGTAAGAAAAGAGAGAGAGAGAGAGAGAGAGAGAGAGAAGTAAAAAGATAAATAAAATGTGCATTTACTTATTGTTATGGTCCGGTTCCTTGTACCACGGTGATAATCCAAGGTAGAACCAAATAAAGAAGAACTCGAACACAGGTATGAAATAACAGAGATATATTACAAACAGGAATATATACAGAGAGGTAGAAAAGTGTTAGTACGAACAATCAGGCTTAGTAGAAATTGTCTGAACGTGACTCTGTTTCGGACTGCCTCTGACTCGACTGATTGACTCCTGACGGACTTCACTCCAGACTTCAGACGGAACTCAGACTTCAGACGGAACTCAGACTTCAGACAGAACGGTATTTAGTCCCCCCCCCCAACGAGGGCATCATGTGGCACAAGGCCGGTTTAACGTGGGATCTCCGAGCCCGTGGGCTCGGCCAAAAATATGCCCATTGAACCCGTATAAACGGGTTCAGGGTCGGTTTACCTCCCCGAAAGAGACTCCGCCCTTCGGCGTAGACTCGTTCGGGTTCCTCCCCGCCCGAAGGCAGAGAGTTCGACCGATCAGCCGATCAGCCGGTCGCCCGACTTCGTACTGAACTCCCTGCTTTCTCTTGAGGCGCAGTATTTATTAGGTATGGAATAGTCCATTATGTTATTATGGGTAAGGTCCCATAACACTTATCATCCGATTTTTGATGAATAGGGCCACTGCAGAATCAGACCAGAAATTGGACAAGAACAGTGCGGGTACGTTAAAGACACTGGAACAAGGAATGCAATATTTATGCTCAAAATGATATCAGAAAGCGCAATACAAATGCAAAAGTAGTTTTTTGAACAACAGCAGATGTTTATCCCTTGTTTCCTGTTTAGAATTGAATGTCCTGTCCCTTCTAAAGTTTTTCCATTCTCTTTCACTCCAACTAGCACCCTACAACTTAGTGGCATCTTTATCTTTCTTGGGGTGAATTGATTAAAAAATGTTTGCCTACGTTTTATAGATTATACAAAATAGTTTGATAAGGTACACCATAAAGAACTGTTTGAACGTCTAGGTAAGCTTGATTTATTTAGGAAGGATATTAGAATAACCCAGAACTGATACGGGGAGCAATCCCCCCCTGCCTGCGGACAGAAAATTAATTCAGTAAGTACACAAACAAAAAGGAGCGTGAGAAAAGTATGTGTCTTTTCACCAGATGTATTTAACCTTTACAGCTAGGCGATTTTTAGGGAATTAGAAGTCCTACTAGGGTTCATTATTGGTGGCCACATTTTAAGAAAAACATAAGATATGCAGATGACACAGTGTTGACGGCAGACGCAGAAATGAAAACTACAGGAAATTCAACCGAAATTACAAAAAGAAAGCAAGAAGAAAGGACAAAACCTCAATTGTAAGAAGACAGGATGTATCCTTACGAACAAAAAGAAGAGCCCAACATTAATTAAAAATTGTAATTGGCAAAATGAAACAGATACAAAATATAAATATCTTAGAAGTGTTTTAACAGTGGACAGAAGGTGTGATACTGCTGTAGAGTAGTTTCACAGTGGAGGCTTGTATTTCATTAAGTCGGTCCTAAAATAGGTTCGACGTACAAAACGTTAGGAACTTGATATAATAGGTAATGACGCAGAGAAATCTAGTTGTGGTCGCTGATACTTTAATATCCGACATTGACTGACTGACCAACTCGCTGAGTGATATTCAGTCCCCCCCCCACGAGAGCTTCATGTGGCACAAGGCCGGTTTAACGTGGGATCTACGAGCCCGTGGGCTCTGTCAAAAATATGCCCATTGAACCCGTATAAACGGGTTCAGGGTCGGTTTACCTCCCCGAAAGAGAATCCGCCCTTCGGCGTAGCCTCTTTCGGGTTCCTCCCCGCCCGAAGGCAGAGAGTTCAACCGATCAGCCGGTCGTCTGACTTCAGACTGAACTCAGACCAACTCACTGAGCGACTCAGCGATTGCTACTACTCCTACTTATTATAGAATAGGTGTGTTCAACTATAACAGATACGGAAATCTGAAGACGCATTGGATAACGAAAAAATGCCTTCCAAAAACTTAATAAAAATAAGATGAAACACAAAAATCCGGTTAGAAACAAAGAGAACTGAACTATTATGCAGTCGACAGTGCAATGCTGGACAATCTCATCACACATGAAGAAGAGACTCGAGGTAACAGAAAAGTGGTTCTACAAAAGGATGATATAGACTGAATACACGAGCTATGACGAAGTTTTAGAGAAAATAGTAAAAAAAAAAGACACATGCTTAGCATCAGAAAGAGACAGTTGAGATTTCTAGGGCACATAATGTAAAGAAAGTGGGCTGGGAAAATTTAACTCACACAGGACATAATGAAGGCAAGAGCAGCGCGTGACCTACCCAACGAGCTTGGCAGAACA